CAATTACCTCCTAGAAGTTCTGCAACACCAGCCAGCATTTTGCTTTAAGTACAAAGAATACGTTAAGCAAACTTTAAGCCAGTGAAAAATACATTCTTTCATTATGTCATGTATAAGGACAAGAATTTCTCATCATAGTCAAAACAACCAGGGAAATTCACTGACACCATATAGGCACACTGTTATCAAATAGAATTTTAATACTAATTTTAGCTTTAGGTAAAGTGAAATCCAAATTAATACATGGATTTTATTCCCACATCTTTCACATCTTTGGAGCCTTTACAGCATTCTCTTGATGAATTTTACTTAATAATGGTAGGCTGAAAATATCACCCTGGAGTAACTCTAGAAGAAACCTACATTTAGATGACCCGTGTTGAGAATAGAATTTGCTAAGAGCACTTTAGAGGAAACTCACACCTAGTTACAGGATTCCCTCCAAAATAAGCAATTCTCAAGCACTCATGTAATTATTGGTAAGCCCAGGACATTGTCTCTAGATTTGTGACCACAGGAACCATCAGACTCTAAATCAGACTGGGTCCTCTCTTCCTAAGCCCCAGCTTTCTGGCAGCACATCATCAGTGGATGTAGACTGCCAGAAGACCTGCTCAGCAGTTGGTTCAGCAACCATCTGGAGTTATGGGCTCCAGAAAACTTAGTTTTCTTTTGGATCCCTTGTCAGTAACAGAAGGGATTGTGAGAAGCATGCATGTCCTTTCCTCATCTTCCAGGTGCTATTTCCACCTTTTTTATTATATATCCATGCACATAGAAAAAGTGATTCTGCATGCTGTGTTGTGCAGCTATAAATATAATATTCAGACTTAGCTTTGGAACCATTACATGTTTGTGAGGCCTGTTTGTGAATTCTCCATCTGACAACATGTCACTACTGGATGCATTTTAATTGCTGTCCCAGTCATTTGTGAACTCAGCATGCTGTGTCTGAATCAGCAACAGTGTGTACTTTCAGCTATAAATTTTAAAATGAGTAACAGCAATAATGTTAAACCTCTGGACAAGGGGCAGAGGGATCTTGAAAGGCCATGTAGGGCAGAAGGAGCATCTCTGTTTTCCTCTCCTAACCTCCCTTCTACTGCCAATGTGACCTTACTGAAGTCCTGAGACTTCTCTACAGACAATCCCTGGCAGAGAGATGCTGCACTGTGAGGGAGCACTGCACTAGGAGCACAAGAACTGCTGCCCTGAAGTCCAGGGACTCTGCACATCTCTCCTCGTGTCCCTTCTCACTGAGGGGCAATACTCTCACCAACCCCGTGGTGCAATGGCTCTGCTTGGGTATCATTATTTTGCCAACAATGTTCCTTCAGTGCAAAGACTTGGCAGGTCTGCATTTCCCAGAGCGATGGCACATCGTGCAGCCAAGCACTGATGGGATTGAAAGCATGCTTTTTGTATTAGAAGTGCAGATTTTGAGCTTGGTCACCACATGTGATAAATGTCATAGCTGAAGGGATAACCTGGTAAGATTTTCCTCTGTTCATTTTTATAAGACAACAGGATAATGACTGCATTGTATGTACAGGTAGGATAATGCAGGTTTTTTTTTTTTGTCTTATTCATGTCTCTGCTGGGCATCAGAAGATCCAGGAGAAGAAAAATAATTTGAACAAAGCTTTCAAAAGGGGTGTTCTTGTTTAGGCGAAGTTAACTTTGTATGTGCTTACATCTAATAAGACGAAAAACTTTGATTATAGTAAAAGCACTAGCCACTGTATTTTTAAAGAGATAATTGGTCTATCTCTGAAGCATGTTATCTGTAAAGTGAAGCTTATGAACACAGATTCTTCACAACAGAGAATTTCTTTATATATTAGTGAATCATATATATAGATGTATATACATATACGTATATGTACATATATGTATATATGTATGTAGGTAGGTAGGTAGATATGTATGTATGTAATTGACCCTGTCAGGATCACATTAATATTAAATATTAATATTAAATATTATTAAAATTAATAATTAATATTAAATACTTATAATTATTAAATTAATAAATGTCCCATCAGGAAATACAAACCTGCTTAGACACATTTCCTTTTTTTTTCTTTTATCAACATTTGAATTTATTATTTTTAAAACAAAAAATGTGGTCATTTTAGTATGAATGGTCACAGATAGCCCTACCATGACCAGAGAAAGCAAGATAAACAGAAAGTCAAATTTATCTTCCCTAATTTATGGTAAGTTTTGTTCACCGAATCTTGGCACTTGACCTTGGCTTGGTTCTGCTTCACTCTCTGCATCCCACTCATGTTTCTGTCTGTGATGGAGTGAATGGTCTTCCATCAAAGAGGGCTCTGAAGCATCAGTGAATTAGAATTACAGCCTTCAGAAATATTTGACAAATTATAATAAATTTTGGTAGGTCAGCAAGGCATTGTTTCCCTTTGCTGGTTTGCAAAGCACATAATGTGCAAAGTAAAGTGTTTTCCTTTCCACTCCGTTGGTAGCCAACTGACTGCATAGACACAGAGCTCTAGACTAACAGAAACACTGCTGTACGTCCTGCCTTCACCTGGGGAAGAGAGCATTGCTGCAGGGAACAAAGCAGGGAGACACTGCAAAGAGCAGGCAGGAAGCTAAAGCGCAGGAGGGCAGAGGATGGGGATCTGCTGGGAATCTGGCTGTGACAGCAAACAGGGAGTGGTTGTAAGGGAAACAGATGGGAAGAAAGGCAGATGGGAGATTAGGACTGAAACACATAATAACCCAAACTTTTTTAAATCAGATGGTCATGGAAAAATGTAGTGTGCTTCCAGTCACTCCTAGAGATTGAATTGGATGATCTCAATAACTCCCTTACAATAAATATTGCTTTTTGTTTAGCATCAGCCCTCCAAATTGCAAGTGCTTCACTCTACAATGTATAGGATCAAAGGGTTTCCCTAACTAGACAAAGATGATTGTAGCAAAAAATGTCATAAAATCAGATCCCCATGAGAACCCAACAGAAAGGTAATTTATTTATTTAAGGGGCCATATAGGAAATGCTACAAATAGGATTGGACTTTTTGAAATCAACATTTTTAAAATTTAAATCTTACATTGCTATTTGTATATAAAATTCTGTAGCTACTATAAAAAATTTACATGTAAGAATTTAGAACCAAAATATAATAACTTAAATAAATTTAAAATGGAAAAAAAAACAGAACAAACAAAATCAAAACAAACAAACAGGGAGAATAAACTTATTTAAAGAAACTGCAGGAAAAAATAATTTCAGAGTGGACAATAAATTCATAGAGCAGATAAAGCAGCACATAAGGAATCCATGTCTGCTAGACCAAGGCTCTGAATTAACTTTAGAAGATGGAGCCAAGAAGCAGCGAAGAGGATAAAATAACCCATGTGTCCTGAAATAATTAGATACTTCTCTGACAGCCCACTCATTTTGGTTGGTTCAGGCCTGTTTCATGGCTGGTTCCTTGTGTTCCAGTGTCCTTCACTCTGGTCTAAGTTCCTCTGCAACCACAAGCAGACGTTCTCTAGACTAAAATCCAGAACAGAGAAAATAAGTTCTATTGAAAGGTTTAAATAACTAGTAGGGTGATTAGCAATCTGCCCAGAGTAGATGATTTTTTGGAGATGCTTTGAGAGCAGATACATAATCATGAAGTGGGAAGGAGGCATCATTTATAGATCTAAATCAACAACAGATTGTGCTCTTAAAACATCTCTGCACGTTCATGGGGGAAAAAAGGCAGGGAAAACAGCTCATCTACGTGATTATTTCCCAAGATGTTGTACTCATAAAAATGTTTATTTGTCATTGAGATGATTTATTGTGTTCTTCACTTCGAGCTATTGTCAGTCCACAAGAGATATTTCACTAATTTACAACTGTGTCAAACCAAAGTTTTACAGATCTGTCATTTTATCCAGATTATTTTTAGTGCAGGTGTTTTGCTTACACAGAGGGAAGCAGCAATATATTGTGATCAAAGAGGACTTGAAAGTCCACCAGCTCTCCATCAGGTGCTAGCTGACTCACTGGCTTTTAATGTGTAACTAAGGACTAGCAATCGAGGTAGCTGTTGATAAGCCTGTCTCACTGAAGTTAACAGGAATGAACAAACGCTGTCCGAATGAATACTGATGTTGATTCAGTTAACACTGCTAAAACATTACAAAATCTGAATAAAAAGTGTACGGAATGTTATGATTTATTAACATCTCTCTCATTTCTGTGGATTAAATCACTGCAGACCTATGGGTTCCTTTGCCCTCGGCTCCGCTCTGCCGTGCCCGGTCCCCGCTAGAACCCCCGCAGCCGCTTTGGGCGCCTCGCAGCCCGAGAGGCAGCACCGCAGGGGCGCGGCCGTGCGGGGCCGTGCGGAGCTGTGCAGAGCGGGGCCGTGCGGAACCGTGCGGAGCGGGGCTGTGCGGGGCCGTGCGGGGCTGCGCAGAGCGGGGCTGTGCGGGGCCGGGCTGTGCGGGGCCGTGCAGAGCGGGGCCGTGCAGAGTGGGGCCGTGCGGAGCGGGGCCGTGCAGAGCGGGGCTGTGCGGAGCGGGGCTGTGCGGAGCGGGGCTGTGCGGAGCGGGGCTGTGCGGAGCGGGGCTGTGCGGGTCCGTGCGGGTCCGTGCAGAGCGGGGCTTTGTGCCGCGGAGGCGCCGCCGCGCCCCCGCCCGGCCCGCCCCGGCCCGCCCCGGCCCCCGGGCGGCCAATGCGCGGGCGGGGAGGCACAGCCGGGGAAGGAGCCGGGAAAACATCAATCCCAACTTTCTCACCTTGACGGGAACCGAGCGCTCCCGATGTGTCCCCTGCTGCCGCCCTCGCTGCCAGCCCAGCCTCCCCAGGAGGGCCGTCCGACGGCCCGGGCTCGCCTCGCCGGCTGCCTCCTGTCCCTGGCGGGGCAGAAACCCGAGTAGGGGTGCCCTGGGTCAGTCCCCCTCGGTCCCTGCTGCCCGGGCCGGGCCGGGGCAGGGGCGGCTGCGCGGCGGGGCTGGATGCGGCTGCCATGGGGCGCGGGGCTCCCCTCGCACCGTGCCTGCTGCGGGCGGCGCTGCTGCTCGCCCTCTGCCCCGCCGCCGGCAGCACCTGGATGTGAGTAGCCGGGCGCGGGGTCGGGAGGGAGGCCTGCGCCGAGCCCGTCCCCTCGCGTCCGTCGGGGCCCGGCGCTGACGGGCGGCTCCCTCCGCAGGTGGCTGGGCATCGCTGCGGCCGGCGGGCCCGAGAAGCCGGGCTGCGCCAGCCCTCCGCTGAGCCGCCGGCAGCAGGACCTGTGCGAGCAGAAGCCGGAGCTGATGCCCGCGATCCGGGAGGGAGCGCGGCTGGGGCTCCAGGAGTGCCGCAGCCAGTTCCGACACGAGCGCTGGGACTGCCGCTCGCCGCCCGCCGCCCGCCGCGGCACCGCCGGCCCCGCCGCCCTGGGGCAGCAGCTCAGCAGCGGTGAGTGACCGGCAGGGCGGGCCGGGGCCCGGGCTGCCCCGGGCTGGTGGGTTTGCGAGGCCGGGAGCCCCGCGGGACAGCGGCGGGCACCGTCCGTGCGTCCCCCGGGCAGAGCCGGGCAGAGCCGGGCAGAGCCGGGCCGGGCGGTCCCCGCCGCCGTCCCGGGAGGGACCGCAGACGCACGAAATGCACCGAGCAGAAGAAACCTGCCCTCGTCTTTGCAACGTCGTGGTTGCTTCTTGTAATTTTCGCGTAGTACGTTCGTGGGTGACGCTGCCCGTAGGTAGAGCCACTTAGCTGTGTTGAAACACTGTTGTTCTTAGACTTAACGTTGGGTTTATCCCCTTGTGTCATAGTTACTAAGTAAGTGGGTTTATGACATGTTAGTTCAAAAAGGTCACTTGCAGATAAAAAAGTCTGCTCAGGGCACTAAATACAATGTGAAATTCTTTAAAATATATAAATATATCATATGTGCCCAGTTGTGTGGTATTGATCAGCACACTGAAACCAAAATCGCCTTTTTTTT